GTTGTGTGGAGGTTGTGCTTATTCTTTATTGTATTTGGTTGCTATGGTTCCGTAATCCATATGTTAGAATAAAGAGGCTATCCTTGAGCCTAGGAGGCTAGGACCATATCTTAGTGTTGTGGTTGTCAAAAATGGTTGAGAAATCATCTATTATTGCTATTGGCATTGAGATAAGTGTCTTTTCCAGAACATTTTACAACAAGAGTTCCGGTGTTGAAATCTGGTTATGAAGCTTGAATGAATGATTTGACTGGTGAAGCAGATTTCCAACTGTATGACAAATGGATCTTTATAATGCAATATTTGAAAATTTGTAATTAGTTCGGTTCTGAGCAGGTTGTTATTTGTATATGCTTAATGAAGAGGCTCTGTTTTAGTCGAAATGTTATGATTTGGCTCCTGGTTTGTTGAATTGATATCTGGATGCAACAAAACTAAGTAATCATCAGGTTAGTTGTTTCTTTAATTGTTATCCCCTGCAGGGAAATGCAACAGGAATTAAGTTGTTTGCTTAATCTGGTTGAAGTACTTTAGTTCTAGTTTTCTTTGACAGGTAAGTTGGTATAATACATCCTTAAGCTTTCTCTTTTAGTTCCGAGCTTATGGGATTCGTGTGCGTTTTAAGATCTGTATTGGATAGTTTTCTAACATTTCTGTGATTATGTTAATAGCTAGGATAAACTTTAATAGTTATGCAGATGTGGTGATTGGATCATGTTCTCTCTCTTTTTCCTCAAACACGTAGGAGAGCTGTGTATCATTTTATTAAGAAGAAAAGAGAGTACTAGGGGACGAAACCCCCAAAAGAGGATCATGTTCTCATTTGAACATATGATTTTGGTCTTTTGAAGTTTGAGGACCTTTTGGGGTAAGCATGGCACAAACAAGTTTTTAACGGTCAGGCTGCCTTAGGTTCCGTGGTTGCAGCTTGCCCTGAGTTATTCTGTATGTATATGCACTATGCAGAAGTTTTTACAGTGTAGCCATTTTCAGTTTTGTGAAATTTAACTTGCATGCCTGATGCCTGTATCACTTAGATGTCAATCTCCTGGAGAGCTGTCTTCTGTCTATCGTTCTGCTTATAAGTTGAAGGGTAACAGAATCTCTAGTTTAGATGGCATGAAATTTAATGTGTCCGACTATGTAAAATGAAGATGGCATGAAATTCAGTATGCTTTGCACTAAACTTCATTTTACATTGTTTGGTTTTCCTGGTTATGTATGAGACTAAAGAGTTTATCCTTGAACCCAGGGTTGTTTATTTGTGGGAAAGTTTGGATTTCCCACCTATTTTCTCATTTACATTTGGCCCTTGTAACCATGTCAATGAAGTGCAATATCTTGCGCTGTTGAAGAATAGAATGTGCCATGGCCCATCGGCAGTGGGGGGCTTATTTTGTCTCCTAACTTCTGTGGGCAAGAAAACATGTTTTTAGGGCCTTTATGTAACAAAATTTTAGATGCTGAAATGTGGTTTCGGAACTTATATTAAGGCTTGACAAGTAACAGGCTCAAGACAGTGGCAAAATATAAGTCTTGATGTATTTTGAAAGTTGAACGTAGTATGTGCTGCATGCATATATACCTTACAAGCAGGGTGATTCAAGTCATCTTATTTTGATATATGTGTGTGTGTGGACGTATAGCAAAACTAAAATCTGATTGTTGAAGGAAGCTTCAGGAGAACAGAACCAATATAGGATCTGTTGCTTTGTCTGAATGTTGTACCTTAAGCTCCTTTATCATTTTTTGATTCTTGATATCCAAGTAAGCATGTTATTATACCAATAACATAACATATGGTTTCTATTCTGAGAGGTATGGGAGCTCAAGTGCATTTTGATATGTGGGTATTGATTGATTCGGCACGGTTTGCATGGTCTTTTTTAGTATTATATTCCACTGTTTCATTCTGTTTTAGGGACCTATGGAACAAAGGAATCAGCTCATTTTCACAGTAAAAACACAGGAGGGGGTGATCCTGCATTCCAAAGACAACCTATTTCACAATTTTCATATATTTCACCGTAGTATAAATTTGTAGGTTTGTTCACAGCTATTTGTTTAGGTTGTATTTTTATGGTCACGGGTCACCTATTTGTTTGCTGCATCTTGCATGTGTGGAGATAGATGATTTGCAGTTGATTGCGACTTTGTTAACTTTCCTTGTTGGCCAATGCTAGTAACATGAGCCGCAATGGTGAGGATTTTTTTTTTTTATCGATTTATATATTTCTACATGAAGTTCGAGCACGAGAAATCTGAGTAGTATGGGTGCGTTTGGTCACCTATATCCAGGCATTTGTAGTTCAATTTACCTGTGTTTGTTGCCTTATATGGTGTTCAAAGCGCTTTTGCAGTGCCATTTACGCGGATTCGGTTGTCCGTAGAGCCCTTATGCAGATTTGTAGAGTGTTTAAAGCAAATCCAATGCTGTATATTTGCTAGTACACTAGATTTGGCTGTAGTAGGTAAGGTAGACTTGCACAAATTGATGGGGCTAAAAAAAAGAATTTTCTAGCCTCTATAGCTATACTGAACATGGAGGTGACCAAATAAAAACAATCTTACTTTATTTGGGAGTGCTTGACGGGCCAATCCATCGCCCATTCAGCGCCCACGCCAGCGAAGAAGAAGGCGGCGGCGGCTAGGGTTCAGGTCCTCTCTCCGACTGTCCCTCTCTTTTTTCCCAATTCCGGCGGGCTTAGAAAGGGCTCGGGGGAGGCAGATCGGGCACACGGTGGGGAGGCGGGAGCGACCATGTCCATGGCGGCGGCGGAAGGGCAGGGGGGAGGGGGAGAAGGACGCCGCAATGGAGCTCCGTTGAGACCCTACTGCGCCGCGGTGGGGCGGTGGGCGACGGGGCGGTGGGCGTCCATCAGAGAAGAAGGGGAGAAAGCCAGATCTGGAGGGGATCCAAGGTGGCGACGGAGGCAACGTAGACATCGCCAGTGCCGGGTGGGGTGAGGAGGCTGGGGGGGGCACAGGAGGAAGAAGGGGATGCGCGCGGGGGAAAGAGAAGGCGTGCGGACGGAGTTGTGTGCGTTTGTGCACGTGGACCGTAGTAGTTCCCTACTTTATTTTTGCATGTACAGGATAATCAAAGACAACGTATTGTGCATATTTATGTTGGTTTGGATTGTGATGCATAAGATCTAATATAGGCTAAACTAATTATATACTACTTTAGGTAGCCGCTTGCAACTGTAACTCTCGCCAATGCTTTTATCAAATTTGTTCTAGTCTCAGTACCCATCTACTACATGTCCACCGTTCTTTTCCTTAAATCCTTTGTTGAGAAAATCAACTCCATCATCCGACATTTCTAGTCGGCAGATATCCAGGATCACTACCCTGGCTTTCTGCTCTTGGGACGACATATGTCACCCAAAAGATAGTGATCTAGGCGTCCGAAGAAGAAGAGACCAGCCCATCTTCAATCATGTTCTGCATCCGCCGCTGTCAGGGACCAAAATCGATATTCTGGTCACCCATCCTGCAGGTCAAAGACATCCTCTGGCAATTGCATATAGCAAATCCACAAAGGAAACACTTGCATCGGGTCCCAACCATGGTATCATATTTGGTCAAACATCCATGACCATCTCAACCTTCCAATCCTACAAAATCCATTGCCTAAAGTGGTTGCTGACCTTTGGCACAGCAACACCCAAAACCGGAATATAGAGATCTTGCAAACACTTTCAGCCACGACGCGACAAATGCTATTTTGCAGGTTCCCACTATTTGCAGCCAGGAAAATAACATTCTCAGATGGAAATTGGCCACCAAAGGAACTTGTACAACAAGAGGCATATCGTTTCCTAAGTTCGCAACTGCAGGTACAACCGCCAATAACGGTCAACACAACTTATTTGATGATCTGTTCTAAATTTTTTAACAATTATGTGGCATATCTAGAAAGCTAGAAATGATAGAAGATTCAGCAACAAAACCTGGTTCTGGTCAATATGGCAAATACACAATGCAGTGGCAGTAGATATGCACACTGCCAATCTAATCCAAAATACAGATCACAAGGACGTTCACACTGCCACAAGGACTGCAACGCACTAGGGATCAGTCTCCCCCAAGCCCTAACCTACACACCACTTTAAATCAAATTCGTGTGCAGGTGATGAACGGGTTACACCCAAGAGCACACAAACACAACACACAATAAGACCTCGCTCCAACCTAATGCTAGGATTGATGTGCCACCAGCAGGAACTCAACAGCCAAAGCCATTGGATGACCACAGCCATAGCCATTGCATGAGAAACGGACATTCCAAATTAGATCATGCACTATTCATCTTCTTCCTCCCGCCCGCCGCAAACCTCCGCCACCGCCCCGGCAAGCGGCTCCTCTGCCACGGCACCATTTGCCACCGCTGACCCAGCCAGCAGCTCCCCTGCTGCAGCCGCGCCGTCCACCAACCACCGGTCCACCACCGCCGAGTCAACTCCGCCCTCCCCTAATCCCAATCCCGCGAACTCATGGTCGACCCCTCGCCCCCGCCGCCGGCACTTGCCACGCGGTTGTCCTACCCCACCCCCTCGATGTCTCCCCCACTGCCTCGCTCGCCACCAGCCAACCCGCCACCATCACCTATCCAGTCGATCACCTTCAGGCCCCTCCCTTTCTAAGGCATCCAGGGATCCCTGAAAACCTGCTGCCGCCTCATCCACTGTCACACTGGAGAGGAGGAAGACGCGAGCGCTGTCGCCTAAGCACCGCTAAAGAATCAGGCAGCTGAAATGTAGGAAGCGTGCAGTTATATAGGTCGGGAAAGCTGATGTAATTTACAGCAATCTTTACTATGAAAGTTCCTCGTTTCAATACAACGAAGAAAATAAATCAGCATATATTTCATATAACCAGGCAGTGACTGAAACACAAACGAAGTACTACGTATAATCCTAGGTATAGCATGTTTACACAGAGTAGAATAGTAACCCTGTCACAAATATGACAATTGTCTTTCACTGTACATCCGACTATGCCGAAGGTTGATCAGGCTGGGGAGCAGTAGAGCTGCTGCCGTTCTTGCGGGACATGCTGAAAGGCCCTGTCACCGTCCTGCCCATGAACTTCCCGGCTTTACCGAGGCCACTGCCGACAGCACCAATACCAGAACCAACGAGGCCAACGCCAGCACCAATGCCAGTGCCCACAAGTCCAACACCGGAACCAACTAGTGATGCGGCACCGCCAACAGCATCCATTGTGCTACCAATTACCCCAGCCTGCTTCAACCGCTTCCTCTCCTCTATGGCTTGCTTTTCCATCTCTAGGGCCTCCAGCTGCTCTTCCTTTGTAAAGGGGTGATACTTTACCTGAAGGGTTGAAAAATAATATATTCGTACCATCAAATTGATCATGGAATTACTCTTAATTTTTCCAGTCAAATAATATTTCTCAAGCTGGCAGTCCACGAAACTACATTTTGTTCCAACAATGACTTAAAACAATTCATTATGCCATAACACCTACCCAGTGCAACAAACAATCTGTTCGCTTATTGGTTTCAGCCAGGGCTTATCAGTCAGGCAATAGTGTTTTCCTCTCACAACAAACCAGCACCAGTCGGGCTTATCAGCCCAGAAACCAACCAGCAAACAGCTCAAAGAAGCAAACTGAAGAACCAATTTTGCAAAATGAAATTAAGAGAACTAGTCAATGGCATTTTTCAGTCTATACCCAAGTTGAAAGTTCTTATGCGGTGGCCAAAACAATTGGCATCTTGATTGGAAGTACTCCCTCTGTCTAACTATATTTATGACATCAAATAATTATCATTAAATTTATCATGAGATATATTTTCATAATATACTTATTTGACGTCATAAACATTAATATATTTTACCTATATATTTGGTCAAATTTTAGACACTAACCTAGAATGCACCTAAAATTGCATTCTTTCTGGGACGAAAGTAGTGACCGGTACTCTAAGTTGTACTTTGACTATATATACGAAAGTCAACCCACCTAGAATTGCATTATTTCTAGGACCGAGGTAGTAACTTGTACTCTAAGTTGTACTTTGACTATATTTATAGGACAGGCCTAGTGTAGTGGTGAGAGTTGTTTCACTGAGTCGTCAGGTTGTGAGTTCGAAGCAACATCTCCACAGATTTTGCGGAAAAAAGGCTTGTCTCGGTTTATCTCTTCCGCAGACCCCACTCATGTGGGAGCCTCCGACACTGGGTCTGCCCTTATATATATGCAGCTGGCCATAGAATAACTTATTCTATGGCCACCTTAATTTACGATAATGTTTGTACTAATTTATGATAAGATGAATATGCATTTACGATACTCGTGTTACTACAACTCACGGTGATATTTACCATAATGTTATAGTAAATCACTTAGTAAGGAGTTACTGTAGTCCCGTAAATTAGCATAGTAACTATCGTAACTCAAAGTGGCCACATAATAAGTTATTCTATGGCCAGCTGCAGATAATATATATATATATATATATATATATATATATATATATATATATATATATATATATATTTGTGTGTGTGTGTGGAAATTATTTCCTACTCCCAGGGAGTAGTTACTCTCATGTTTATATCTCTAGATTTAGGGCGTCTATGGTCCGACGAAGTGTATGTAGACGGAGTATATCATCATACTAAATCATCTAGGGTAGTATGTATGTCAAGTATGCAAATATACATATAGTATATGGTTATACCTTTTTATATACTACTGCAGCGGTATTTTAGTAATATATTAAAAAGTATGGGCTCTTTTAAAAAAAATTCACGTACTAAGATTTGAAGTATCTTAAATTGAGTATCTAAACATACTCAAACTGATAAATTAGTATGCACACATACACAATGTGGTTTATTGAAGATGGGAGTAACTACTTCCGGGAGTAGAAAAAATGCATATATATATATATATATATATATATATATGTGTGTGTGTGTGTGTGTGTGTGTGTGTGTGTGTGTGTGTGTGTGTGTGTGTGTGTGTGTGTGTGTGTGTCAAACCCCCCCCAACCCCAAATACACCCACCCCCAAATATTGGGTTTGAGGTGTTCCCCTAATTATCTACAGTATTAGTGTTATGTGAAGACAAGACATCTTAGATGGATGCAAAAGGATCAAGGATCCAAAGGTCTAAGCTAAGGAGGAGGCCCAGCCTTGGGCAATGGATGGGGCGTGAGGGACTCCTTGTCAGCCCTTGTTCCTAGGGCTAGGTTATTCCAGGTCATTTGTATTTGTAAGAAAAAGGTGCATATGTAATTTTGTCACCCTATGGGTGAGTGTAGCCAGGATTCTTTACCCATTTTGTGAACATGCTAGTAACAATACATTAGTCTAACATAATGCTGCTGGGTGAGGATTAATTAAGAACAATTTCAAGCTTAACTTAGGAATGTAAAATAGAACTGAGCCCTCAAGGTTCTCACAAATTCAAGGGCAAATCCAATTATTTCTCATCATCTGTGTAGATATTATATTATTTTGGGTATCTGTGTAGTTCAACAGAATCCAAAACACAGCTGGGTGCTCTGAATGTCCATCTGTCTAGTACAGAAGGAATGGGCACCAAAGGTTGAAAAAACTTTATTTTAAAACAATGAACGAGCTGGGGCCAGTTTCTAGCTGGTTCAAGAATTCTTGGCAGTTCAGGGATTCCACCCAACATAAATCACCTTCCAACCAATGAGCACTAACCATTCTTGAGAACTGCATAACTAACCTGATAGACAGCTGCTGGAGATTACTGAAGTATGAACTTCTAAGTAACAATACATTCTACGAATTTGCTGTTCAATGGATCTATGTATAGTCTACTGATCAGTCCCTACAGATTTCAAGCTGAGCATAATTTGTTGGTTCGTAACCTCGATAGTCACAGGGACTGGGGTCGAAGTTGCGTTCAACGGCCATGGGACGTCGTCCCAAATTGAGGATCGGGGTCGAACAGGGTCAATGTCTGTTTCTGCCTGGGTCGTCGTTCCTTTGTAGCAGGAATATACCATGGATCGATGAGCTGTGTTGGAAAGCCTTAGCCACAAAAGGGAAAATGATAGATCTTCATGTTGCTGCGATGCAGGAGGCAGCCGATGTTGAAGAAGACTGCATAAAATTGGGGAGCAGGAGCAGCCACCATAAAATTAATCTGCCTCCAGCAGAACTGTGAGCAGAAAAGAGAAGATACCATGGGGGATCGATTTTACTAGCGTCTGGTGCGCGGAGTTGGCTGAAGGTGGTAGATTTGTGGCCAGCAGGCTAGGTTGTCTAAAGGAGAGAGAAGGCGAGGAAGAAAGCTACGAGAGAGAGGTGGCTGTGAGCGACTTGTGGGAGTAGACGTGACAGGATTAAGTGGCTAATGGGCTGACTGGGCCAAATGGGCAAGCATATGAAGCACAGTTTAATGTTTCTTGTTTTTTTTATTACTTTGTATTGTTGTTCTCTAACTAATTATAGTTGGCATATCAAAACTCATCGACCTCCCCTTCGACCCATGTTTTTAGACATCCTCGACCCTCGATCCCGACCCGCGACCCTGTTGACCCATATTTCTGGTGACTATGCCTCAAACACTGGAATTTATCCACACATGTCAAATAAATGGTTGGATGATTTCCATCCAAGAAAGATTAATTTGAATTCTTTGATACAGACTCAACTCTGAAACATAACCATAAATTTGACTCCCTGGTATCCAATATCCAAGTTTAGTTTTGGACCCCTTGTGCATGGACATCCACATCCAAAGCAAATCCAATCTAACATGATCCAAGAACAAAAAGTCCAATTGGACTTTGGATTTGCAAGATCCATTTCAATGTCTAAGTTAAATGATCCAAAAAGGGGAACAAGGTGGTCTACGATGAACTATAATCAGCCCACCACCAGAAAATTCAATTACAAAATCATTTCTTTCTCAAAAGTCTCATAGGCAACTGACCTCAAACCAGGACTTGGCTTTGATACCATGTTAATTTTAACACACCAACAGCCTAAAGCAAAAGCTTAAGCCACTGGAGGAAAGTTGGAAAATCTATTTATACTTGAGCTATTACTAATGGCTAACACAGATGTCCCCTCAACTTTCATTTGTGGGCCCAAGGTTTTTTTTTGTAAGACCCAGCAAGGATAGGCTGCAGTTCTTGTTAAATCGGAAAGTGGATCCCGCATAGTTCAGCTTGGGACAGCCTACCTTGTTTGCCCATCTAGCCGCCCAATCCTGGCCCACTAATCCTAACTCATTGGAATATTAAACAGAATACCTTGACTCCCAGAGCCAGTGGTGAACATTTGCATCCATTGAGTTTTTTTTTCGCAAGTATATCTTGGTGAGCACAGAAGATTTTCTTTGGTCGATTACAAAGTTTGGGACATGGGATAGTGTTGACTCTAAAACTTTCACAATAAATTCCTAACATTATTAGGTGCTCACTGTAATTTTTGTAGCTCCATAATAATTAGTTTGCTAGGGTAGCTAAATAAGCTCTAGTTCAAAAATATATATTTAATCAATAAAATACTGAAACACCTTGGGATCATAGAACTAAAACATTTTCCGGCAACGAAGCCTTACATGATGACGTGGATACGTAGACTAGTACGTTAGTCATTAGAGCTAACTCGTTAGCTTGCGAGGCGTAATCGTATTCTTAGAGTTGCGGTTGCCGTTGATTAATTACGTTTTCTGCGTTGCGTCTACATATATCATAATAGGGACAACGATGGATCGTGGAGTCAACCAGAAAAGCAGAAAAAGATGGAGCCTTGGTGATCGTGTCGCCCCGATGGAATGCTAATCCTTGGTTATATCTTGCCTAGGCAAGCCCCGGTGCATAAACCCTATTATTCTGCACTTTATTTTATGCTTGTGCATTAAGTTTAAAGGAGTTGAATGAAATCCACTCGCACATATATATATCCTTATCATATGAGTCTTACTAGTATGACAGAGTCGTGTAGATTGCTATGCTATAGGATTTCGGTAGAAGTTGAGTGATTATCTGTCACTCATGAGAGATAGAAAAAGATATTATTGTTATTATTATCATGTTACCATCACATGAAATATATATGGATAATAATTGGAGACCGCGGGACCATACTTTGGGTTTGGATTTGGACTTGGTTAGGCAACCGAGCAAGGCTCTGGTTGTATTTGTCCCGCCTGTGTCAATTGAGGACCATCCGTTGCTATGGATGGCAGTCAGGTCACAGACTTATTATCCTGAGCACATACTTGCTTATGAGAGCGGGAAGACTCGTTGCACTCTTGTCGTGGGTT